CCCACAAGTCTTATATCCATGGACATCCCGGATCCGAGCACCCAAGTTTTCCAAATAGCACTCGGATCTGTTCTGTGGAACAAAATCACCATCTGGATAAAGTTTGGGCCGACCACACACATGGCATCTGCCCAAATTAGTTCTGTTAAGACCGGCAGTGGTTATGGTGCTGCGGTCCTGGTTCCCTCTCCCAACAGCTGAGCATGAGTGATTATAGCTGCAGCAGGGAGTAGAGGAATAAAGTAGATGAAATGCCATTCCAAGGTGATTCTTCCCAGCAAGTAGAATTTCCCCCAAACATGAGCCTAGACTTCATGAAGGGTGTAACAGGAATAGTCTTTATTGAAAACACACAGGCTTTTATGAGAAATCCTCCTGCAAGATGACCTCCCACAGTAAACAAAAGCAACAGCCAATCATCATACAGATTTACAGTATTACACGCCTCCTCTCTGCCTGGGAGATATTGAGATAAGTTAAGGAATAAACCAATTATCTCCAGGCAGAGAGCACACAATTTCCCTAAAACTTAGAACACCCCTTTCCCCACAAGGTATCCCCACAAATTACATATCCCCTGATAGCCCCGATCTAGGGGACAAACATATCCAAATTTCACCCAGAACGGTTCAGGGGTTCAGAAAAAGTGTGGAGGGTCCCTTTTACCAACCACACACGCAGCTCCTGCCCAAAACAGTTCCATGAGTTCAGCGTATGCGGTCGGTTAATTCACAAAACTGTAAAAAACAAACAAAAGTCCCGAATGGATCCCCCTGGCCCATAGTAGCGCTTGCTTCCCTTGTCCGTTCGCACAGAACTACCAAATGAAGCTTTCCTGGCTGTTCAGGAAATATGAGAAGCCGGCGTTTGGTAGTTTCCAGCGGTAGTTCGTGAGGTCGAGTGTCCGATTTTAGTTCCAGACACTCGACGACCAAGTCCCGCTGGCTCTCCTCGAGCGAACAAGATGGCCACCGTTTTCTTTTCCACGCGGTGTTCGGTTATACGAACAGCGGCCGCCCAGGGAGCACTTAATAGCTGGTTTCTTTGAAGTAAATGAGCCAGGAGGGTTTCAAACTACCGAACCAATCCATTCAATATACAAGTACTAACACATAAAAATACAGAATAAAAAGGGAGAAAATGACAGGTAAAGGTCCATTTTCTTCACATTACTCCCCCTTAGTTTCATGGGTCGGCATATCCGCCTAGACCCTGCCGGGTTGGCTAGGGGATGTCCGGGTAGCATAGTTAAAAGTCTGAGTCCGTTTGACGGGAAAGCCCATCCGCATTGCCATTCTGCTTGCCTGGGCAATTGTGCAGCGTAAAATTGTAGGGCTGCAACGCCAAACTCCAGAGTAGCAACCAGGGGTTGTCTCCAGAGACTCGGTTGAGCCAAATGAGGGGGTTGTGGTCAGTCAGTAGGGTTAACGCACGGCCATAAAGATACGGTTGCAGTTTCTTTAATGCTCATACTAGCGTCAAGCATTCTTTTTCCACGTTTTTTTTGCGACTGAGATATGCCACCGGGTGCTCCATGCCGTCTTCCCCCACCTGGCTCAGCACGGCTCCCAGCCCAAACATGGAAGCATCTGTGTGGACGAGAAATGTTTTGTTAGGGTCTGGGGCCGCCAGTACTGGAGCTTCGCTCAAAGCTGCTTTAAGTCTCTGGAACGCTGTTGCACACTCCGGGGACCATGCGACCTGCTTAGGTAGGGCCTTTTTGGTCAGGTTGGTAAGTGGTTTGGCTAGGGTGCTGTACTCAGGGACGAACTTTCTATAATACCCTGCGGTACCTAGGAAGGCCAATACCTGCGTCTTGGTGCGAGGCTGGGGCCAATTAGCTATGGCCTCTACTTTAGCGGGTTCAGGGATGCTGTTTCCCAGACCCTACTCTATGCCCTAGGTGTTGGACCTCGGCCATGCCCACATGGCATTTCTCGGGTTTCAGGGTGAGGCCGGCTTCCTGCAACTTCCCAAATACCGTAGCTAAGTGCGACAGGTGTGACTCCCATGTGCTGCTATAGATGGCAATATCATCTAGATATGCACATGCGAAGTCCTGCATTCCCTCCAGAAGTCAGTCCGCCATTCTTTGAAACGTAGCGGGGGGCATTCTTCACCCCAAACGGCATAACCCGAAATTGGTATAGCCCGAATGTGGTAACGAATGCCGACTTAGGGATGTCGGCCAGATCTAGCGGGATCTGCCAGTATCCCTTGCACAAGTCTAGGTTAGTTAGGAAGTGCCCGCTGGCCATGCGATCGATCGATTCGTCGATCAGTGGCATGGGGTAGGCGTCTATGATAGTCCGGTCGTTCAGTTTCCGGTAATCACTACAGAAGCGAGTCATACCGTCTCGTTTAGGTACTAGAACCACCGGAGACGCCCAGGGACTTTGGGCAGCCTTAATAATCCCTAGTTCTAACATCTCTTGAATTTCCTTCCACATGCTAGTCCGCACTGCTGTCGGAATACGGTACGGCTGCTGCCGTAAGGGGGTCTCCCCCTGTGTCTCCACCCGATGTACTGCGGCGGAGGTGTACCCGGGTAGGACCGAGAACAGCTCCCCGTATTCCCGCAGCAGTTTTGCGTCTGCCTGCTGCGAGATGTCTAATTTCTCTCCCAACCCGACCTGTTCTAAGGTACCTTGGTTAGCTGCCAGCAGGTCGGGTAGGGGGAGCCCTTCACTGTCTTCAGAAGACGGGGCACAGATGGCGGCCACGTCCTCAGAGCGTTCGAAGTATGGCTTCAACATGTTCACATGAAAGGCCCGTCTGACCCTTTCATCGGAACATTTAGCCACAATATAGGTGGTGTCGCTAATCCGTTCCACCACCTTAAATAGCCCCTGCCAAGCTGCCTGGAGCTTGTCCTTCTTGGAGGGTTTGAGGACTAGTACCTTTTGCCCTACCTCCAGGTTCCTGTCTCAGGCTCCCCGATCATACCATTGTTTCTGACGCTTCTAAGCCGCCTGCAGGTTCTCCCGAACTGATTCGGTTAGGGCCTGCAAGCGTTCCCGAAACTCCAGCAAGTATGGCAAAACCGGGATCCCCTCCTCTCCTGTGTTGCCCTCCCAGTGTTCCCGTATGAGGTCCAGGGGTCCCCGGACTTTTCTCCCGTATAGGAGTTCGAAGGGGGAGAACCCAGTGGACGCCTGAGGCACTTCTCGGTAGGCAAACAAGAGATGAGGTAAAAACTTCTCCCATTGACCATAGGACTCTGTGAATGCCGTGAGCATTTGCGTAAGCGTGCCGTTGAAGCGTTCGCAGAGCCTGTTAGTCTGGGGGTGGTAAGGGGAGCTAAATAACGGCTTTACTCCGCAGCTCTGCCACAACTGTTGCGTTACAGTTGCCGTGAACTGGGTTCCCTGATCGGAGAGTATTTCTCGAGGAAACCCTACCCGGGAAAAGATCTTGACTAGAGCCTCTGCTACTGTCTCTGCCTCAATATTGGAGAGCGCTACAGCCTCAGGGTACCGGGTGGCGTAATCTACCACTGTGAGGATGTAGCGCTTCCCGGAGGAGCTGGGTTTGCTGAGAGGCCCTATCAGATCTACTGCCACTCTGTAGAATGGTTCCTCTATTAAAGGTAGGGACCTTAACTTGGCGTTAGGGTGGTCCCCCCTCTTCCCTATCCTTTGACATGTGTCACATGTCCTGCAGTAGGTCTGCAGATCTTTGGATATCCCCGGCCAGAAGAACGTCTGGGTAAGAAGGTCCTTAGTTTTCTTGATACCCAGATGCCCTGCCAGCGGGATATCATGGCTGAGCTTTAGCAGCTCCGCCCGGTATTTACGGGACACGACTAACTGCCTTTTTATAACTTGGGCTGCCCCCTGTCCCACTCCCCCTGTGACCCTATATAGCAGTCCCTTGTCCCAGTGGAAGTTCTCGTGGCCATTACCTTCCTTAGAGATCCCTACTGCCTTCCTGTACCCTGCTAAGGTGGGGTCTGACTGCTGGGCTTTGCCAAAATCTTGGGGAGCGCCACAGAAAGGAATAGGGGTAGGGCAGGTTACGGGGGTTTCGTTTCCTACCTGTGGTTCCTCGGCGTGTGTCGGTCCAGCCAGGCGGGCTTGTGCCCTGGTCGTCACGGGGCAGGTTCCAGCGGACCGGGGTGAGTCAGCTGTGAAATTAGGCACCCCAAATCGTTCCCCAACTAAACTTACACAGGTAGTCCCGACATAATGCCCACCTCCATCTGCTTGGCTCCGGTGCCCCAGTTTAACTGTACCCGGGCTGTGGGTAACTTGTGGATGGCGCCCCCTGCCACCCTTACGGCGCCTTTGCAGACACCGTGGGAGGTTGTACCAAGGTAAGGGTAGCCCCAGAGTCTCGTAGCACCTCTGCCTCTTTTCCGTCTATGGTGACCCATTGTCTGTGGTGCACCCGGTTGTCTCCCTCGGCTTGGGCTAGGTTCACCTCATGTAGTACGGCTCACTGCTCTGCATCTAGGCTGTGTTCATGCTGGTAGTGGTGAGCAGCGGCCCTTGGTGGTGGTGGGGGCCGCTCCCAGTTGCCTCTGCTTCGCTGAGGGCAATGCATTTTGTAGTGCCCTGGCTGATTGCACTGGTGACATACTACAAAGGTTCTTCTATTAAAATTAGACTGTGTCGTGGGTGGTACCGGGTTAGGTCTGGGGTTGGCTACAGGACCTGGCGTTGGGGCGCTGTACCTTACCAGAGGCCGGCTCCCACCCGCTTCTCCTTTTCTTCCCTCATGATGCTCATCCGCTAGCTTTGCTGCTTCCTCGACTGTGGACGGCTTCCTGTCTCTGTCCCAGTCCCTGGTATCTGCAGGAGTGTGGTCAAAAAATCGTCCTAGCAAGAAAAGTTGTAGTACCTCCTCTAGTGTTGTGGCCTGGCAGCCTTGTATCCAATTTTGTGCTGCCCGATACATCCTAAAGGCCCACTCGGTGTAGGAGTCTCGGCCCCCTTTCCGTAATGCCGGAAACTTTTTTCTGTAAGTCTCTGGGGTCACGGCATACCTGGCTAGCAGAATGTCCTTTACCCTGGCGTAGTCGTGTATGGCTGTGTCAGGAACTGCTCGGTACGCCTCCGCTGCTCGGCCTGTCAGCTTACTGCTTAAAATCGCGGCCCATTGCTCTGATTCCAGACCTTCCAATGCGCATTGACGCTCAAAATCCTGCAGGTATGCGTCAATTTCCATATCTCCATCTGAAAAACTTTTAAAAGCAGCATAGTTGATCTTTCTCCGCTGCCCTCCATTTATAGATCCAGCTAGGGAAGCGTTGTCCCCTTGGTTCACGCTTGCCTGCAGCGCTCTCCGCTCTGCGCTCACTTGTGCCAGCACTTGGGACACCATCTCAGGTGTGGGATTTGGCCCACATAGGTTTAGCCTCCACATCACCTTTTGTTGGAATTCAGCTTCCTCCTGGCTGACATTCGCCATGCTGCTGGATTGGTCGCCCTCCATCAATTCTGCTATGAGGATAGCTTTCTTTTTGTTGCTGGCTACTTGTCCCCGAGCTTCCAGCAGATCCTTTAGAGTGGTCCTTTTTAGTTTCTCGTACTGCTGGGCCATTCACCAGTTGTCCTTATGCGTTCCATTCAATCCCGTCGCTTGCCACCAGTTGTTAAGACCTGCAGTGGTTATGGTGCTGAGGTCCTGGTTCCCTCTCCCAACAGCTGAGCATGAGTGATTATAGCTGCAGCAGGAAGTAGAGGAATAAGATAGATGAAATGCAGTTCCAAGGTGATTCTTCCCAGCAAGTAGAATATCCCCCAAACATGAGCCTAGACTTCATGAAGGGTGTAACAGGAATAACTTTTATTGACAACACACAGGCTTTTATGAGAAATCCTCCTGCAAGAGGACCTCCCACAGCAAAGAAAGACTATAACCAGTCAACACACAGATTTACAGTAATACACACCTCCTCTCTGCCTGGGAGATATTGAGATAAGTTAAGGAATAAACCGATTATCTCCAGGTACAGAGCACACAATTTCCCCAAAACTTAGAACACCCCTTTCCCCACAAGGTATCCCCACAAATTACATATCCCTTGATAGCCCCGATCTGGGGGACAAACATATCCACATTTCACCGGTTCAGGGGTTCTGAAAAAGTGTGGAGGGTCCCTTTTAGCAACCACACACGCAGCTCCTTCCCAAAACAGTTCCATGAATTCAGCGTGCGCGGTCAGTCAATTCATAAAACTGTAAAAAACAAACAAAAGTCCCGAATGGATCCCCCTGGCCCATAGTAGCGATTGCTCCCCTTGTCCATTCGCACAGAACTACCGAATGAGGCTTTCCTGGCTGTTCGGGAAATATGAGAAGCCTGCGTTCGGTAGTTTCCAGCAGTAGTTCGTGAGGTCGAGTGTCCGATTTTAGTTCCAGACACTCGACGACCAAGTCCCGCTGGTTCTCCTCGTGCGACAGACACACACACACCAGACAGACAGACACCATGACACAGACAGACAGACACACACCATACAGACAGACATGATAACACAGACAGACACACACACACACACCATACAGACACCATAACACAGACAGACAGACACATTACTAATACCTGCCAGGGGGAGGTCTGCTGTCGGCCGCTGGGGAGGTCTCCTGGTGGCCGCTGGGGGACTTGTCCTTGCGGCCGCTGGGGGGAGCTGCGCTGGCTCTGCTCTCCCGCCCTCGCGCGCTGCTGAATGAGACCGGCGCCAGAATATGACATCATATTCCGGCGCCGGTCTCATTCAGCTGCGCGCTGGGGAGCAGAGCCAGTGCAGCTCCCCCAGTGGCCGCCAGAAGACCTCCCCAGGTGTCTGCCCGGCCCCAGGTGCCGACGGCCCACCGGGAAATTTCCCGGTATCCAGGTGGGCCAGTCCGACCCTGCCTGGTATCACACAGCCAGAAACAAGGCACACCACACAGCCCAGCCACACAGTACATACGCACCACAAGGCAGCCTGACAGAGATCAGGCCATTAAAAGCCCATCCACTTCTTTTTCACACCCCCCCTCCCCCGGGTCACAGGGGACACCAAAACCACATGGCAGGTCACAAACCACTCAACCCTCTCTCACTATCAGCCCACGCACAAGGATCAAAGGACGACCACACACATCAAGCTCACGGACTGCCATGTTTTCCATGCAGACCGAGCCAAGGCATACACTAGAGATAAGAGATGCACACACGATATTACGCAACCTAATCACTGTTTACTACACGACCTATGCTCGCCACCGTCACAACACACTTACCACCACTTCTTGGATGCCTTCAGGAACAACGTTTTTTGATTTAATATAAAATGTGCAGTCTAAACAATGCCAGATCAATGACGTAAGTTGAATGTTATGAATACGCTTGATACAGCTTTTGTGGCAGTACAGGCTTGTCTGTTACTACTTGCACGTGAAAAATAAAGAATTATAAAAAAATTATAATATCAGGAGTTTAAGCATGCGTGGGATAGGCATAAGGCTATCCCAACTATAAGATAAGGCCAGGGACTAATAAAAGTATCTAGAAAATTGGGCAGACTAGATGGGCCAAATGGTTCTTATCTGCCGTCACATTCTATGTTTCTATAACTTGGAATACTTTGAGTAGATGAAAAGTCACTTTAAACACATTGAGAGAGTCTCTTTAGGTAGTTTGGTAAGGTGGACAGTCACTTTTGATATTTTGAGGAGATGAAATGTAAGTTGTGCAGGTGGAAAGTTACTGAAGATTTTTTAAGTAGACTAACAATCACTTTTAAAAGCTTCAGAGTACGAACTGGCACCTTAAAAACGTTTGAATTCCAAAAGTAATGCTTCAAAGATAAAGTCTTTAACGTCAAGAAAAAATAGTTAAGAAGCAGGCATGAAGGTTGCACTCACTCAATCAAAACTGGAATAAGGCAATCTGCTCATCTATTACCTTGAATAATTCTAGAGGGAGAAGGCAAAAGAATAAAAGCTTGGAGCCCAAGGTCAAGATTGGAGAAGTTTGGCAAAACGAGGTCGCAGTCAAAGGTTCAGTACACAGGTCCACAGGAAGCATCCGAATGCCTGAATTGTCGAAATTTGTCCGAATTTACATTCGGACTGAAACGAATTGCACATGTTGATTGTCTAGTTACTGGGAGGGGAAGGGCTATGCACTACTCAGAACCTTGTTCCAACTCGTGGATTCAGTGGGGAAAGTCCTTGTAAGGACTAAAGCTCCCAGGACTGTGTGTCGTCCAGTCCTTGGGAGGGAATAGAGCTAATCTCCTATCCTGTTCCAGGACGGAGAGGCTGCAGGAGGACCCCAGTCAAGCCACTGCGACTGGGGCAGAAGTGCAGAGGTTTTTCCTGGTTCCAGCTAGGAAGCGGTCCTTGGCGGAGCTACCCAGATGATCTCCTGAACATGTGTGGAAGCCATGGTACAGGGAGGTCCACTACCAGTATAGTCAGTGCCTACAGCCTTTTTGCTATAAAAACTGCCACTTCTTAGATGGCTACTAGAGGTGCTTTATGTGGAAGTGCTGAGACATTCAGTGTCTCCATGCTCTGCTTTAAGACACAGAATTTGCCCTCTCCTGACATAGAATCATATTGTCATCATGTATGTATGGTTCTTGACAAACTACGTCTGTATAATCTTTTTGCCAAACTCGAAAAATGTATATCTGAGACTACCAGAATGGAATTCCTGGGTTATGTTCTGATTCCTGGACACCTAGAGATGGAAGAAAATTGAAGCAATCATGAATAGACTTAGACCACCTAATAAAAAGGGAGTCCAAAGGTTCTTGGGGTTCGCAAACTTCTATGGTCCAAAGATGCTCAAAAGGCTTTTGATGATCTCAAACATCACTTCACCACAGCACCTATCCTCATGCTACCTGATTCAACAAAACATTATTTATTAAAAGTGGATGTATCAGAGATTGTCACCAGAGCTAAATTATTTATTTTATTTGTTTATTTATAAAATATTTTACCAGGAAAGATACATTGAGATTTCTCTCGTTTTCAAGTATGTCCTTATCACAGTGAGGTGTAAAAGATGACCATCTGTATCTGGTTGCTCTCTTTTCCAAGAGTCCTGCTGAAATAAACTATGAAACAGGGGACAAAGTACTCCTATCCATTAAACGCGCTGTAGAAGAATGGAGACACTTGTTAGAAGGCGCCTCTAATCCTAAGTAAGGGATTCTCGGGTGAGGGGATATTTTAATTTTAACAAAAAAAATGCATGCATGGTTGTATTTACAGTGCCTTGCAAAAGTATTCACCCCCCTTGGCATTTTTCGTGTTTTGTTGCCTCACAACCTGGAATTAACATGGATTGTTTGAGGATTTGCATCATTTAATTCACATAACATGCCCACAACTTTGAAGATGTTTTCTTCTTTTTTTTAATTGTGAAGCAAACAACAAATAGGACAAAATAACAGAAAAAGACAATGTGCATAACTATTCACCCTCCTAAAGATAATACTTTGTAGAGCTACCTTTTGCAGCAATCACAGCTCCAAGTTGCTTTGGATAAGTCTCTAGGAGCTTGCCACATCTTACCACTGGAATTTTTGCCCATTCCTCCTTGCAAAACTGCTCCAGCTCCTTCAAGTTGGGTGGTTTGCGCTTGTGAACAGCAATCTTTAAGTTTGACCACAGATTTTCTATTGGATTGAGGTCTGGGCTTTGACTAGGCCATTCCAACACATTTACATGTTTCCCCTTAAACCACTCAAGTGTTGCTTTTGCAGTGTGTTTGGGGTCATTGTCCTGCTGGATGGTGAACCTCCGTCCTAGCCTCAAATCACGCACAGAGTGGTACAGGTTTTGCTCAAGAATATCCCTGTATTTAGCACCATCCATCTTTCCCTCAACTCTGACCAGTCCCGGCTGCTGAAAAACATCCCCACAGCATGATGCTGCCACCACCATGTTTCACTGTGGGGATGGTGTCCTTTGGGTGATGTGATGGGTTTGCACCAGATATAGCGTTTTCTTTGATGGTTGAAAAGTTTAATTTTAGTATCATCAGACCAGAGCACCTTCCTCCATACATTTTGGAAGTCTCACACACGCCTTTTCACAAACTCAAACCGGGCCATTTTGTTTTTTGCTGAAAGTAATGGTTTTCTTCTGGCCACTTTGCCATAAAGCCCAACTCTATGGAGCGTATGGCTTATCGTCGTCCTATGTACAGATACTCCAGTCTCTGCTGTGGAACTCTGCAGCTCCTCCAGGGTTACCTTAGGTCTCTGTGCTGCCTCTCTGGTTAATGCCCT